ATCATTTTTCTCCCCACCACCCATACACCCATCCACCCATCCCATCCCTCTTCCAAGAGGGACGATGACGACAAAGACAGTGACGACACCGACAAATGCGCCCGCCCAATATCTGACATCCTACCCCTCCCGCACATCGCTTCCAATGGCGCTGCTTTTTCTATATCCGCCGACGGGTGTCCTAGCGGACTTGAAGCCCCAATAAAACCTATTAGTGTCACGCGCGATCACAAAGGGAAGCTGCGTATAATGGAGGAGGAGGAGGAGGATGAGGTGGCGGATGAGCAGAAGGACGAGAAGGAGGAAAACGAGGAGAGTGAGGAAGGCGAAAGATGAAGAGGAACAGCAGCAGCATGAGCAGCACTGGCAGAAGCAGGAGGAGCAGGATGCCGAGGGGAAGGCGGGGGAAGGAAAAGGAGCGGGGAGACAATCATGAGGAAACACTGGGTGTCGCTTTAAAGTTTTGCTCAGCGCAATTGTTTCCCCTCGGATCGTTTTCGCTTTGTTTGTTTTCCATCGTGCGTTTTTTGGTTCCCCCTCGGCGCTGTTCCCTTCTCCCTCGGCGTTTCTTTTTCTCTCGCGGGGGGAGAGGGAAGGGCTGACCCAAGCGTAGGGTCGGAACTCGAGACTTCATAGCCCTTGTGCTCCCAGGCTTCCAACGCCTCCCCTACAAGCACCCCAGGAAAACCCAAGAGGGCCGCAGCTTTTTGCTACTCCTCTCCGGGGGGGAGTGGCTGCGAAGGACAAGCCTGAGAAGCATGGCAGGCGCTCCGGCTCAGTCCGGGCCCACTGGGGCTCCAATTTGACGGCCCAACGGACAAGAGGCATGCGAAGATGATTTCTGGAACTAGTTTTTGAATATTTCTCTCGCAACAAATTGACGATCATCGCGCACGCCGACAAATAGATCCGAAAGAGCACATGAAAATCGAACGTCAACGAACTTGGGAGTTCTCATTGTTCTAAGGAACTGGGCCCAGTTTAGGGTCCTAGGGTGCCATACAGGGTCTCAAAGCAATATTCTTCGAGTGATGGCCTTAGGGTTCGAGGTTTCGGGTTAAGAATAAGGCGTTAGGGATAGGGTTTTCGGCCCATGGGGTTTCAAGAGGGTTCGAGTGTTAGCGCTGGGGTATCTAATTCAAGGCCTTAGGGGTAGAGCCTGAGGGTTAGGGCATTTGAGGCAAGATCTTGAGGCGAGGGCCTGAAGGGTCGGACCCAGTGATATAGGGTTACGGTGTCAGGTTTAGGGTGTCAGGGTAAGAGACTTAAGGTTAGGATCTTAGACTTAGGGTCTTCGGGCTAGGGTCTTAGGACTCGAGTCTAAAGGCCAAGGTCTTAGTTGTAACGTCTTCGGGTTTGGGTCTCGGGTCTTAGGGTTCGGGCATTCGTGTCCCAGCTTAGGGTTAGGGGCTTAGGTTTAGGGTCATGGCCTTACGCGCAGGGTCGAAAGGTTAGGGCCTTCGGGTAGGGTTTGAGGGTTAGGGTCGTAAGGGCATGGCCGCAAGTGTAGGGTTAGGGCATTCGGGTTAGGGCCGTGGTGCTATGGCCACATGGTGAGGGCCTTCGAGTTTAGGCTATGAGGTCCAATGTTATGGTCTGAGGTTTAAGGTCTTAGGCTGAGGGTATTCGGGTTACGGTTAGGATCTTAGGGATAGGGTCTGAAGGGGTACGGCCTTGGGCCAGGGTTTTCGGGGTTCGGGTCAATTAGGGTCAGGGCGTCAGGGCCCGGGCCAGGGTCTGAGGGTCAGGGCTTTCGGGTTAGGGCCTCAGGGTTAGGGGCGTTTTCCGGATGGGTTTCAGCAACAGGGTTATAGTCAGGGCCTTCTGGCTATGGGCATTGGGTTGACGGCCTAGGGTTCTCGAGCATCAGGGCCAGGGCTTCCAGATTAGGGCCTCAGGGTTAGGGAGGCTCCATGTCTGAGGCTTTAGGGCCTTAAGGTTCGGGCCTCAGTCTTCGGGCCTTTGGGCGGGGTTTTCGGGCTGAGGTCTCGGGGGTTGGGATCGCAGGGGTAAGGCCTGATGGTTAGGGCGAGGGCGTTAGCATGAGGGCCTTAGGGTCAGGGCCTTTAGGTCCAGCTATCATGGTTCGGGCATTCGAGTTAGGGTCTCAGGGTTAGAGACATTGGGTTAGAGTTGGGCGATTCAGATTGAGGCCCTAACGTTGTGGCATTAGATGTCGGGCCTTCGGGTTCGGGCCCTCAG